TATATATATATATATATTACTATTAAAAACAATTAAAACAAAAGAAAAGATTACCATTAATTAAAATACGCCGGGTCTTCAGTCTTCGTTGATTAAAAATGTGACGAATTAACGATAATTGAAAAAAAATTCTAATTCATTCCAATAATTTACGCGAGCATGGAATTTACGCGAGCACGCACGCTTGCAAATATTCGATTATATATGAATTCTAATACACTGTCCATACTAAGTGATGTTAATTATAAAATATAACTGTAGACCCAATTAAGTGTGTGAAATTATTATGCAATGTACGTAACACATATACTTTGCATGTGTTCATCGGGAAGATTATGAAACAAAATGGACGGTATGTACCACGTGACTTTCGTAAACCAAGGAGCGGAATGTCGCAACTCTTTATATATATGGCTCTGCCGAGCGGTAAGGCAGGGCGCCGCTAGCTACAGCCAGCGCTGGTTCTAGCCGCTCCTCGCCCATGGTCTTCTCGGAAAAGGACTTAAAATGGAGGGCCAGTGGGAGTAGGGGGGTTACCCCGATGTTGTGGTTCATTTCAGCCCCTGTCGTTGTGGAATGATGTCAACATAGCTACCACCATGAAGCGCCTCTTTACCGCTGCCAGGTAGTCATGGACCACGCCCATACGCAATTCAGCATGGCGCTGCAAGTTTTGGGTTATTAGGTAGTTTTCGCCGCGAAAGAAAACGCAAATTGTGTTTATATAAATTAATCACCCGTCTATTAACATCATTTAAAAGGTTCTCATATCCACAACATGTACATACTCCGAATCGTCACCAACATTTAATAATCTTGGTATTGGACAATTACAACTATCCTAGAAAGTTTCTTTTAGATATTTAGGTCTGGGACGTCAGTACATTAAATGACCTTCAAATTCACACCCGATTTTTAAAATTAATTTCTTCCTTATACCTTAGTTAAACACTTCATAAAGTTTCATTCAGATCAGTTGATCAGTTTCTGGGATATCTGGTCTGGGATTTTGCCTTTGGTTGGTCCTTATTTCAACACCTACTCCGGATCGTCATCAAAATTTAATAATTCCTAGTCATTGGACTAAGTCAAACTATTCTACAAAGTTTCATTTTGATCCATTTATAAGTTTTTTTTTTGAGATATTACGTCTGACCCGTTAGCACTGACCCTCAAATTCACACCTGAATATCTCTTGGTCATATTTAAATTTAATAATTCCTTTCTTGTAACTGGGTCTAACTTTCCTGAAAATTTCATTCAGATCAGTTAATTAGTTTTTAAGATATCTGGTCTAGGGCGTTTCCCTTTGAATGGTCCTCATATCCACACCCTACTCCAGATTGTCACTAAAATTTAATAATTTCTTCGTTGGATTACGACAAGCGATGATATTACAATATAATGATGATATGATGATGATGAAATAACGATGTTGATACGATTACAATGACGATGTCGTCGACAACGTCGACGACGTTGGCAATTAAAACTATAAATGATGTGATGAGGACAAAGAAAGGTATTACTTACATGAGTTTACATTATTCCACTTAGTAAGAAAAACTATTGAAAGAAAATAAGCAAAGAAACGCATCATTATCAACTATTTCCGGTTTCAACCCCCTTTTCTCTTGATATTACTGTAGTTTGCTTTGTTTAATCGTGTGTTAAGAAGGACTGTTCCAATACTCAGTATGTATTACGCTTGACGCAGTAACAGTATATTGAATTTCAATATTTAATGAGTCAATATTATTATAAAAGAATGTTTTTCATTAGGTCTATTTACTGTGAAATAAATGCATTACGCTTGACGCAGTAACAGTATACAGTATTGAATTTCAATATTAAAGACCGTCTGACAAGCTGAACTATAATGACTTGTATCATAAGAAAATGATAAAGTACAATTAATAATCGCGCTTGAAGGCCTTAAATGAACTATCTTGCTCATTAAAAACAACTTTAAAAAATGCTCAATTTTTCGATTTTGCCAAATCTTTAAAATCGCCAAGGTCAATCATCACGCCCCCAACCAAGATGCCATTCACAAACTTCTAGCTCTCATACAACGAAAATGCAATCAAATGCGATGGCGGAGGGAAATTCAGATGGTGAATTAAGTTTAAATTTAGACTGTCTTCGTCGTCGTTCGAAGAGGATGTAAATGAAAACGAAGAGGTACAAATGCTTATTTGAACCAGAATATAGAGAAGAAGCTACAAATACAGACGAAGACATTGGCGTAGGCAATCATAGGCTTTTGAATACCTAGTGGTAAGAAATTGGCGCGAAGTGCCTATCCTAGCCGCCCCCCCCCACCCCCCTGTTTTTAGGTAGGGGAGGCGTTCTCGCACTCTTGATGCACTACATCTCGGCGTAGGCCCCTATGCATAGAAACTTGATTTCTACCTTTATTTACGATAATGCATGTTTATTTTAACATAAGCCTAAATTTGTTTCGACCTTTATCACCCAGCCTAGGCCTAGGCTAGGCCTAGTACAGTAGTACTAGTAGTAGTGTTTAGGGAGGCTTGGCCTAGGCTAGGCCTACCAAGGCTAGCCTAGGCCTACCTAATTAATAATAATAATAATAATAATAGAGTAGGCCTAGGCTAGGCCAATGCACATTTTTATAGAAGGCCACGGGGAGCTTTTACAAACTATTAAGTAGGCCTACTGTGCCTTTAGGCCTATGCATATACAGGCTGGGGTAGGCCTAAGGTTAGACATTTAAAAATACATCTATATGTAGCCCGCCTAGGGTCCTTGACTAGTTCGCACCGACGTTTGCGTTTTAAAATGTAGCCTAGCCCTACTCAGCACTAAATAAACAGTTTTTTTTTTGTGCAGGACGTGTTTGTGCACAAGAGGTGTGGCATAATGCCTACAATGAAAGAGCCAAAATGCTGCATGGAATATAAACAGATGCAAGACAAGATGGTCCGTGCTGGTATGCAAGGTGGATGTATAACATCTTATCCTGGATTTGAACATGTGTGTTTAAATGAATGGGTGTTACAGCTTACCTACATATCGTATCGGCAGCAGTATGGGGCGCGAGCCGTGTTACCACATTCAAGAGAAGAGTAAGTAATTCTGATTAACGTTTAAAAAATTTAATAATGTGCTAAGCCAAATAAAATTACTTTTAAGTTTCACATCCCCGTCTCATGAAAAAATTTACTAGTTGCTATTAAAAAAATAATAATAATTTTTCCATGGACAAAAAAAAAAATTAGTATCTGAAAGAATGATGTCAATTCTAAGAAGGGGTGTGAACATATGGCAGAAATACATTAATACAAAGATTCATTTTACTTCTTTTAGTAGCAAATACCCACACCAAAAAATAATTTCTAATTCTGTCACATGAAACAAACAATTAATTTTATTTGGTCTTACCTGTATTAAAACAAGTTTCAAAGGAGTTTATGCTGTTGCATAGTGAAAGGTAGGATGATTGGGGAAAAGTTATTGGTATAATATGTAAATGTATGATATTATTACTGTATTTATATCTGATATTTACCAAAAACTTTACTTTCACAGGCAATACAGACACATTGCATACAGAAATCTGGTCCGCTTCTGCTATGGCTATTTAGGCAGACTCAACAGAGTTACTCTACCAGCATGTGCTGTGCTTAAGATACGTAAGGCATTTCCAAACCCAGAAGAGGATGGTTACTCAGGATTCAAATTAGGAAAGTTAGAAGAAATATAATTATAAATTTTATAGTGTAAATTTCCACTGATGAATATAACTAAGCAGCAGGTAAATAAACTTCATTTCTTACCACTTGGTATTCAAAGCCTATGACAGTCTGTGCAATGTCTTTGTCTGTATTTGTAGCTGCTCCTGCTTCTCTAAATTCATTTGCATTTGCATCTTCTTCGAATGGTATAAAATGGTAGGTGTCACAAGTGACATCTATTTTAGTTTATAAGTAAGTATTTTCTTTGAACCACTAACCTTACTTTTACACACAGCAGCTAGTCTTCAGTCAAATATGGTAATGAGGTAAGTATTCTTTGAGAAACTTGGTGTGTGATTTACTGATTGGCTGAATGAGAAATGAATATAAGTGAGGTAATGCAAATGAGTGCAGAGATGCAAATGAGTTTAGGTTAGTGGTGTGAAGCACTGACTGGATGGGAGTGCATGAATAGTAATGAGATATGAATTTTTGGTGGGGTGTTGGTTAGAACTGGATGAAGGGGGTTTGGAGAATGGCTTGTGAGATAGCAGGGAAAGGACATGTTAGTCCAGAGTTAATATATGTTGTATTACAGACAACAATATCAGGTTCCATGCCTACGTTATACCAGCCTACAGACATTGCGGGTGAGATAAGAACAATTTGTTTGCCTGTTATTTTATAATAAAAATGGTAGGCCTGAATGTATGCCAATGATCATCCAGTGAACGGCTGTGATGTAATCAATATTGCATTATTTAGATGGAAACCTTTTTACAAGTACCTGCTATTTATATTGTTTTTGTAGAGCTAATAAGCTTGGATACCAGGGAGAAGTCAACCCTGAGTTAAAGTGAACATCACTATAGTTCAAAATTAGTGAATTTTGTGGAGCTAATAAGCTCAGATTGCAGGGAGTAACCCTGATTTATGCTGAATGTTATTGAAGGTAACTATAATCCAGAATTAGTAAATTTATGGAGCTAATAAGCTCGGATACAAGAATATAATTTGGATTGAAGGCCACTTTAATGCAGAATTTGTGAATTGGTGTTTGAAGCTATTCGAGTTTACTAAGCCAGGAAGAACCTGTGAATGTCATTAAAGAAGTGAACTGTGGGGGGATTGTGATTGTTCTTTGGGCAGGGTGTCTGAAAGTGGACAGTTGAACTTTATGTAATTTTTGCTTTTGGTCAATTGCAAAATATAGTATTCATTTATTATAATTCTGTAATCATTCTTCCATGCTTTATTCACATTAATTTTTGGAATGTTAAAATAATATAATGATTCAATGATGGTTAATTTTTTGAAATTGCTGTTAATATTGTGAAGTTATTGTTACTGTATTATTTTGAAATTTGAGAAGATAAATGTAAAGTAAATCATAACATTAAATATGTACCATTGACAGTAACTTTCATTGTGATATACAGTACAATATTATTAATCCGGTATATAGAATAATTATTTCCATCTGATAACTGATGTTAATTGAGGATTACCAATAAGCCTAGTTTATTGGGTTTTTTTTTAAACTATATATTCTTACCATTAACAGTGAATCTCGAGATATAATAGTTTATTGTTCAGTGTTAAACACTCACCTGAATATAATTGGTGTTTTGATAATTGAGATCGTTTTCCTTTGGTTTAAACGTTTTATATAATTGGAAAATTCATATACTATATCATATTAAATCAGTTTATTTTAACTTTTTGTAAGACAGTGTCAGTTCGGTTTATTTATCATCCTGAGGTTTTATTTGTTCAGACAAATTACAATGTCCGTATGAGCCTATATTAGGCTGTGTGACAGTAGTCTCTAAAATTAAACTTAATTTGCTTCTTAATCTTTCCCATCAGCCTATCAGAACAAAACTCCTGTAGTTCATTATAATTACTGTAATGTGTATGCTATTTGCTTGTTTGTAAACTTGACATTTGGGTCAAATTAATGAATAATTGGCACACTGCCCTAATTGAAATTTTATTATTTATTTATTTATTATTAAATTTTATTTAATAATATAATATAATTTTAACGGGTGGTCATGGCTTAAAGTGCATTTTCGTTATAATGCAACACTGCTATTATCACCCTAGAATTTAAATGACACAAGTTTAACAAGTTGTCCGTATAGCAATTGGCACGCAAGTTTGATGATTGCAGAGTGTATGTTTAACTCTGTCCACACTATAATATTTTATGCAACAAATTTGTCTTGATGTCATATCACATTTTTCTCACACATACAATTTGATAGTGTAGATTGAGCCTAACACTTACCTGGTAAACATGCCATTGTAGGAATACAACAGCATTTTGGGAGCAAAGTGAATGATAGTCCCATGGAATGCCTCTACACCCGATGTCTGCCGATGTGGACTAAGCTTTTGTATGTCCTTTAGAAAGTGACGTTTTTCTAGAAGATCGGACTATTTTTCGCATGCCTTTGACCCTGTCGGATGACAAAATTAATATAACATTTAAACTGTAGAAAACATTACTAAAATTTTATCTTTACATTTATTTTTCGTGATGTTATATGATGTTGTTGATAATAAAATATGATATAAAAATAAAATTCTGACTAAGCATGTACAGTACTGTAATTTTTAAAAATGAAGATTTTTTAATAAATATTTTATACCTGGTTTTAGCCATTTCTTCATATTTTTTCCCTGTAGTATGGGAGGATGTAGACTGGGTTCCAGTCCCTAATCTTTGTCTTAATCAGTTGAAATGCTTAAGAATAAATCGATTTTGGCACAAATGGCGTTCCATATTACTTATTTGCATGGCGTTCCATAGTATAGTTTTTTTCTCATCAAAAAAGTTTCTCAACATAAACTGACGCTGGTGGCGCTTTCCGAAATGCGCTAATGTACTACGAAAAATCCATAAATTAGAGACTTGTGGCAAGTCAGGGAGGATGAAGGCAATTTGGGAAGTGCTCTGAATGCCTAGTATGAATGTTCTGAATATGATTCTTTAAGCTCATGAACTTCCCAAGCATTTCATTTGGATCTCCGCTAGGTGTGGACGAAGCTACCCAATAAACATGGTTGTTAATACTTCTTGCCCACTCCTGCACCACTTCACAATCCTTTTCTTTCCCGATGGCTCTTACTCTCTCTCCAAGGCCTGAATAAATAGTTTAAAAGAATAATCAATATTAATTTTATTGCTGAACATAATATACAAAACCCAACCAAGAGCACTTTATTTGGTCCACTTCCACTTATATACGAATATAATAATAAAATGAATAAAAATAATAATTGTACAATACTAATTGGAGTGGAAAAAACTTTTTTTAAAAAAATTATAGGCCTGTAGGAACAGTATAAAAAAAAATATGAAAAACAAATTGAAATAATTTTTTAAAATCATATTAACGCATAAAATAGTTACTATTTTACTGTATGGTTTGTTTTTTTTTGCAATAAAAACAACTCCCTGCTTATACTTCTGATAATTAACCTAGGCCCTAGTGATGTGCCGCTGCCCCGATGATTGGTTGTGAATGACGTCATCTATACGTCGCAGCCGACCAATAACCGGGGGAAATCCACGCACCCGTGGAAGACCCTATGGGGAACCCCGCAAGAGTGCGGAGGAGAAGAAACTGGAGAAGAAAAACCAGAGACGAAAAACTATTACTATATACCTACCACTAGCAAGTGAATTCCACCAGCGAGTGAATGGTAAGTATGTCCACTTTGTCCAAAATAGTATCTCGAGTAGTATAAGAATCTATAGAGCCCTAGCAAATCTCTATAATGGCGACGAGATAAACTTTTTTATTAGTTTAGCGTGCGGGTTGCGCTGTGGCTGGGTGGATCTCCAACAGCCACGCACAGCTCCATCGCTCGCGCCTCATCCAACGGCCTCGCTCGGGTAGTGAGATGTTTACGTTTCCTTCTCGAGTTCGCTGGACGTATTGCTACCGTCTTGGATTATACTGCTAGGCAGATATGTTTTATTTCCCTAATAGTCAGATTAATTATTTTAGTGGGCAGAGATACGGGACTGGGCGTATAGGCTCGAGTGACCTTGTCCGTTCTGCCTACACTACAGACTATGCTCGTGTTCATGGTACAGCGTTTTGTATATTAACGCACTGGGCCTGTGATTCCAGAATGGTTCAACACAGCAATACGCTCGTGTTCATGCTGGTTACCGAAAAATATGCAACCTTAATATAATTATTAGCATCTTTATGATTTGTAGGTGAAGTTACAGGTAGGTGTAGATAGGATTATATTATTATTGTTATTATTATTATTTCGTATCACAACTGGCAGTCGGCAGTTCGATGCACATTTTTAGTTATTTATTAGCTTAATTCAATCCGTGCCGATCGTATTTTTTTTATCACGCTAAATAGTCTGATATACTTGCTACTGCGGGCCGCATTGTCCGCTTGGTAATAGGTGGTCAGGTTATTTAGGATAGCCTAGCTATAGTTTTCGGTTATTTTGGAATGTGATCTGTCTGGTGTGTGTTAGTTGACAGGGATGGGAAGTTATCAAGGCTACCATCACTTTCAATCGCGCCGCCATTCCAGCGCCTCCCACTGTAACCACAACTTTAGACCAAAGATACTAGAAATACAAGATAGAGTTCTCTACACAAAAAAGTGTTCCACAGAAATGCATGGTGGGAATACGCAGAGCCGTAGATAGAGAGAGTTTGGCCAACTCGGTTTCAATCACGTGACTTACACCGGCCATGTTGTCACCAAAACAAAACAACGCGATAGGGTAGGAAGTTAGCAGTTATTATAGATGATTAATGCTATAATTATAATGTGAAATACCGTTATGTTGGGTTTGGGGTTGCTGCAATCGATCCAACAAAGAAACAAAAATGTATTAATTTCCAAAAAGGAGGAGGATTTGGGATTTTATTTTAACTTTGCATAGCGATCGAAAAATCTCGCTATCCACGTAGTAAATTATAAGGCATGTACCGCCCGCCCGACTTCGCGGTAATATATCCACTTACTACTACTAGGCCTAGACAGGCCTAAATTTCGGTACTTCTTCGGCCGAACACCTTAAGGTAGTACTTAAATCGGTTAATTACGATGATAATTAAAAAAAAGGAAGGATTTTCAAGCAGCAATGATTTATAAAAAGATGCAATGTTGCACTTTGCTGTTAAATTTATATACACTATAACTAAATTTCCAGAAAGCTACATGAAGAATCAGTCAAAGGTAGCTTAAATTATAATTAAAAATAAAAATTGAATCCTCCAATAAAAGCGAAAACTTGTCCAAGGAGTCCTGTGCTATGCAAACATGCCCAATTGTGCTTTCCAAATCAATTAATTGTGCAACTAAAGATTTTAAAGATAAAAATATATTTTAAAGATATAGGCCTAATTTTAATTTTTTTAAAATTTTTTTTAATTTTTTTTTTAGAAGTGTGGAGAATGCTGCTATTTTACTAACAAGGCCTAGCTTCTTGATTATGAATGATTAGGCATATGTTGTACAAAAATTTCTCTCAATGCAATAATTCTTCAACTTTGATTTATTGTTTAGATTACAATTTACAAATAGGCCTAGGCTATATGTATTGGTTTGAAGATGACCAGCATATTATTTCATAAATTAAAGTTTACGAAGTCATAGGCCCAAATAAAGCCCTAGATACAATTATAAAACTTTCATGTTATTAATATTTTTATCATTCATTTACAGGCGAAATTAACATATCGCCGACGATTCACAAACCTACTATGTCTGCACAACCAACCTTTCTCCTCTGCAGTGTTGACTCTTAGGAGCCTCATACTATATAGAGGAGGCTGCTAGCAACTAACTAGGTATAGGCCTAGGCCTAGATGATAGACATTCAAAACAAAAAGATAATCGTAACGAAAAAAAAAAATAAAGAATCGTCCTCACTTTATCTTCTCGAAATAATACAGCACGTCATTGATTAATTAATTCCAAAGTTAGGTAAATATGATTATATATGATATTTACAATGATATGTTAAAATCCCATAATTGAATTGTCCTCATGAACAGAATAATGAAAGAAAGTTTATGCAGCATCAGTGTTTTATAAAATGTTAAAGCTATACGCGCACACGCTGTTTGGTGACAACATGGCGCCCATGCGCCAAGTTGGCCAAACTCTCTCTATCTACGGCTCTGGGAATACGAACAATGGGACGCCCCCTACAGCTGGATCAAAAACACTTCTGCCAAACTTTCGTTACCAAGTCGTCGCGTATTTTATTATCAATTCTCAATTAAAAAATTGTACACCGCGATGCGCTATGGCGACGTACGGTATTGGAGGGCGTTGCTGTGCAGTAAATTGAAACACATCATACAAACAGGGTCATAAATTATATTGATTTCCAAAGGATAGAGAAAGTAAAATATTGCACTGACATTAAACAAAAAATCAGCTATATATAATATTATAAATATATATTAACATTTTGTTTTTTTAAACGACATATGAATTAGCCTAGGCCTATTGACTTGCGTAGCTAAGATATTGAAGAAAAATAAATAAATAATTAGACTAGCCTAAAATAATGAAAAAAGTACTAAATATTACTTGTTCGTATAATAACGCTAGTATTGTATGCAGTTAGTTATTTTTGAATGACGTGAAAATGGAGCTCTTTTGGTAAAAGAAATTTAATAATCCAGTATTAATACAGGTCTATTAAACTCTAATTACTTAAGACCACTTTTTGGACCGGGATTTCCATGGTCTACCTACCTTGCATAGCCTATATCCGCTTTTTAGTCTCTAATTAGAATAATAAAGCTAATTTTTTTTACTTAATCTGGATCGCATGGCCGGATGCACTCTTAGTGAAAAAGTTTTCCTCCATTAGTGGAAAAGGAAGGGCGCCTTTTGCGTCTGGATATACTTAGCAACAGAAGAGCGCCCTGTACATTGGGCACGAAGTATAGGAAACTTGCATGATTAAAAAGAAGGGCGCCGCCTACGTTGGGCACGACTTTCGCCTCATTTTTACAATGCAAGAACTCTATCTTGTATTTCAAGTATCTTTGCTTTAGACTAATGATCGTCTTCGTGTCACGCGACGACCTACGCACACCAGCGTTAGCCAATCATTGCAGCGCACTGGCTCACTGCTCTCGCTCGGCATTGTCCAGGTCTGTTGTTTTTCTCGATACGGGGAATTACGTAGTTAGATACTGTTTTCTGATTGGTTGATGACTGGGGAGATTCAGCAGTTATTTTTAGCATGGTTGCTGCCAGGTTTTGAGGGTGCGCTCCCAGCGTTAACCACGGCCGCTAAATTCGCTAATTCTTGTTATTGCAGGAATGCCTGTATATTATCATACGTCTTGTATATGCTGTTATTCTTTGAATAAAATATTTTTCCGTGTCATGTGTCATTATTTTTTTATCATGATCTTGTATGTTCTATACTCTTCCGCATGTGTAGTCTTATTATGAACATGTGTTAGTTTTGTGTAGGCTTGTAGCTATCTAGTTAGTTAGGATCGTATTCGTAGTTAGTGTTGTGGCTTGGCGGGTGTCCCACCTGTGAGTGTATCCCTGGCCTTG